TAAACACATTGCATTACACCAAATACACAACATAATGTTCTTTTTAGCAACATCATATGACCCCTTTAAGTCGATTTGCACCAGCGTCTACCACCCACAGACGGTCTGGTGGAACGATTTAATTGCACGTTAAAAACCATGATTCGGAAGTTCGTTCACGAAGACGCCAAAAATTGGGACAGGTGGCTGGAACCCCTCTTGTTCGCTGTGTGCGAGGTCCCGCAAGCCTCGACGGGGTTTTCCCCCTTTGAGTTTCTCTATGGGCATCAGCCCCGTGGGGTGCTGGACGTCTTGAGAGAAACTTGGGAGGAGGGACCTTCAGAAAGCCGAAATTAAATTCAGTTTGTGCTGGACCTGAGAACAAAACTCCACACCTTTGGGCGGCTGTCAATGGAGAATTTGTTACAGGCCCAGGACAGGCAGAGTCGGCTGTACAACAGGGGAACCAGGCTACGTAAATTTGTACTGGGAGAAAAAGTGCTTGTATTGCTTCCTACATCTAGCTCTAAATTACTCCCCAAGTGGCAACGACCCTTTGAGGTCACACGGCAAATTGGGGATCTTGATTATGAGGTCATTCGTACGGATAGGGGTGGGGCACATCAGATTTATCACCTCAACCTCCTTAAAAAATGGAGTGAGGCGGAGTCAGTGATGCTAGGGATGGCAGTGAGTGGGGAGGAGGATCTCGGGCCAGAAGTAAATACCAAACTGCAATCTCTAGCTCTGGACCCTGGGGGGCGACCACCTCTCGGCCTCGCAGCTCGCTGATGTAGCCAAGCTACAGGCCGTATTTGCAGAGGTGTTCTCGCCCCCGCCTGGTCGAACAGACCTCATACAGCACCACATAGAAACCGAGCCGGGAGTGGTGGTTCGCAGCTGGCCATATCGTTTACCTGAACACAAAAAAAGGTGGTTCAGGCATAATTAGAGGCGATGCTAGAGGCGAAGATGGGAGTAATAGAGGAATCCCACAGCGATTGGGCGAGCCCGATAGTTATAGTACTAAAAACGGACGTCTCGGAACGATTCTGTGTGGATTATCGCAAGGTGAATGCTGTGTCGAAATTCGACGCATATCCAATGC